GTTTGTTGTAGGTGTAATGAATTTTTGTAACAGTTCGAGATTATTATCGACAATAGCAAAATGAATTGGATAGAGATTCTCCCAAGAGACTGAGTCACGTTCAAATGAACTAAATACACGAATACCAGGAACAAAAGAATTAGCATAATTAAGAGAACATGAACCTAGTTCATCAACTGGTGCACCAGCATTAAGTAAAACTGTAATTGTTGACATCGAGCGTGCTTGACAAGCAAATAGCAATGCTCCTCGCATAGTATTACGTGAATCACCACCGGGGAATCTTTGATCCGGTGGAATACCAGCATTGAGAATACACTGCACAATGTCTGTATGACCAAGAAGACATGCACGTTGATAAGCTGTTTGTTTTTCGTGGTCCGGTGAGGACCATTCAGACGGAAAGAGACGACGTACGTTACATAAACGTTGGAGTTCATTTTTCGTAAAATTCTGCACGACAGTGACATTATTTGATTCAATAGCATTGAACAGTTGTTCTTCTTTCAATGTATCATCTGATTCGAAAGAACAAGTTTTGCTGTCAGTAAAAGCCATGTGTGTCAATGAATGTGACTGATCGACAATAGTACGATTTTATTTCTTACGAAAATATTTTAATTTTGCTTTATCTTTAGCGTTACTTTTTTTCTCTTATTTTTGTTGGTTTTTTTCTGTCCTATTGCACAACTTTACTACACGTTGTGCATACAAGCACATGCTTATTTTATGAGTCATCTTTGCTGACGTGATACATCTGAAGAATGAGTAAAAAGACTGAAATAATGGGAAAAAAACATATTTCTTCTTTGTTGTTATACATGCACCAAACACAAATCACTCTAAAAAGAAGATAAGTACATTCTGAACCCTCCGAAAAGGTTTCATAGGTGTCTACAAGCTTCCAAATGCATTCAAAGGCCTAAGAAAACGATTATTAATATCTACGAAACCTTTTTGGAGAGTTCAGGAAAGTAAAAAATTTTTTTTACAGTACATCGAATATATTTCATGCGCTTTTTTTATCGGATTTTCTTTAGTATATGTTTCTGTTACTGAAAAATTTCACTTCGCATCGATACTATCCTCTCACAGTAGTTTTCAACTTTTTAGAATAATGGCTTAAAATACAAAAGGGTATACTGGGTGTGAGTGTGGGTAAAGATAATATGAAATCATATCGACACCCCACATTCATACCCTATTCGGATCCATGAGGACAAAATTCGCTAAGAACTTAATATTCTCATGAAAACTGCAGAAAATGGGGAATCCTTTAGAGATGTTTATAGTCAAGTAAACTTCTACCTTTTAAAAAGATATACACTCAGGAGCCTATGTTCAACTACGAAATGAATCTTCTTCGGCATGCCTGTATCGATATAAAGCTTGAATATGTCCATATCATTGACAAAAAAAGTCAACTTGTTTACTCGAACCGTAATAGAGATACTCATTTTTTTCCCATTCAAGTCGCCCTTTACGCTACTCTGTATTTCATCTTCACAGCTACTGATGAGTATTAACGCCTTCTGAAAATTCAGCTATATCTGTAATCTTGAAGAAGCTACATATCTGACGTTAGGCTACACAAGTAACACACGAACCGATAGGCACGACATATTTCGAGAATAATTTGCAGAAGTTTTGATGATAGTCATCTCGAATGGAATCAATATGGTTTTCGACTGAGAAAAAGAAATCAATAAATCTAGTTTTTGCTTGCCATTTGATAGCCTAAAACACTGTCAATGTATTTCTTGGATCCTTCTGGAAAATGAAAATCTAGATTAATCTTTCTAATTTATGCATCGCTTGATATGACACTTAGTCAACCAAACCATTTTATAAATAACTTTAGTTGCTGATCTTTCTTCATTGCACATTACATATTTGTTTAATATACCATCTAGTCAATACTCCTCTGGCATGCATATTCCATTGACACAACGATACTCATCATTCTCACATTCATTGAACGTCAATTTATCACAGTTCTCCTCATCGAGTCCATCAAAACAGTTTTGCTGCCAATCACAAATTTTTTCTCCAATCGAGACATAACATACCATAATTACAAATTAACGTCGTATAACATAGATTATTGCCACATAATTGGTGACCTTCAGTAGCTTCATTTGTCTCAAACGGTATTTTAATTGCCTTTCTGAATGATGAAGTGTCAAAGAGGAGTTGATACTCAGAATGCTTACCGAAAGATCCTTCTTGTGTGCAGTTACACAAAAATAATTTCTCTGCAGATTTATGGTGAGACGTCTTGTGCAAGTAGTAGTTCAATGAATTTCTACTTTTTCCCACTCGAACAGTTATCTAACTTTCGATTAAGTGGCATAACACTGCCCGATAGTACACAATACTACACATTGGACTTTTGTGTGTAATACAATGTGTCCCGGAAGTCCCTTCCCAAAAGTTTTTAAGGATATCTTCACTATTTTACTTCACTATAACAACTTTTTTTTAAACGATAGAGAAATGCACCGAGTTTTTTTTTTTTTTATTAAGACAATTTTTATAAATACTGTTCAAAGGTATTATCTTCCAGTGAATTACTAAAATTTAGTCTTTTTCCTGTTTCAAGAAAAACATTTTGTAAAGTTTTTTTTTCGATTGATTGAATTTCTTACGCTATTCGAGTTTTTAAATCGTTCAGATCTTTAGATCTTGTTTTGTAAATATTTGTTCTGATATATTCCCATAGAAAAAAGTCCAAGGGCAATAAATCAGGTGGCCGTGGGGCCCATGAAATGGATGCACCTCTCCCAATCCATCGATCATTGAATTTGTCTTTCAGCCACCAACGAACAGTTTTTGAATAGCAAGATTATTACTCCGTCTGTGTAATAACTGATGTCCTCTCCCGGAGTTATTTGTGTAGAGGATAACTGACTATTCTTCGAATCATGAAAGACTGACCGAACATGTGATTCATTTCAAAAACATAATGCCGATTGATCTGCACTTGCGAATTAAAATTGTTTTCATGATGGCTAAATTAGAATCACCATCATCAGTTCGACGATATTTACGAAGCGAAAATGTGTCTAATGTTCCTTCAGAAAAGTCCATCAAAGCCATTTATGATAAATTGATCGAAACTGAGGATGGGGTATGGTGGGTGTGTGGGTGTGTGAGTGTGGGTGTGTGAGTGTGGGTGTGGGCGTGGGTGTGTGGGTGTGTGGGTGTGAGTGTGGGTGTGGGCGTGGGTGTGTGGGTGTGGGTGTACTTGTGGGTGGGTGTGAGTGTCGGGTATGGGTGTGGAGTGTGGGTATAGGTGTGGGAACCTCTTCATCCACGCCCACTACACCCCACACACACCCACACCCACACCCTCTAATAATCTGATGAGGTCCTAGGGCAAGATCAAAGGACATCATGTTGTGCTTGACACACCAGCACCCTGCCTCTGGTGAGATTCTTTGCCAAATTGAAATGTATTGTGGTAGCTTCATTTGATAGTTCTCGTGTTTATGTAAAATTTATTATTTTTCAACACACCTACACCTAAAAACCGTTAGAAGGGTGTGGGTGTGTGTGGGGTGTGGGTGTGGTGTGGGTGTGTGTGGGTGTGGGTGTGGGTGTGGGTGTGGGTGTGGGTGTGGGTGTGGGTGTGTGTGGGGTGTGGTGTGGGTGTGTGTGGGTGTGGATGTGGGTGGTTGTGGGTGTGGGTGTGGGTATGGGTATGGGTATTTAATCAAACAAGACCCACACCCACACCCTAGTAAAATATGCATGATATTCGATGGTTTTTTTTTTCTTTTATAAATATTTTAACTAAATAAAATGTCTGTTTTGGGTAATATGACATATATAAATATGAATAAAAGTACGAGAACAAAGGTTCTTTCAAGATAACAGAGAAGACAGGTCGTTTACGGATAAGAAAAGGGATGGTCCGAGGTAACTATCATCATCCAACTTGCCTCTCAACTTGTGATTATTATAAAAGTTTGAGTGAAATAGGATTTACTGTTAAATTACATATATTTAATTTAAGAAAAATAATCCAAATATATGTTCAACTATGAAATTAAAACAAAATATAACAAAAGTTTTTCATATGTTTATAGTAATATGTTAATCATTATTATTATTACTATTTGTCTTGTCATTTTTTAGTTTTTTTTTCTTCTGGATAAGAGAAATCATTTATTTCATTATCTTAGTCACATTTTTTTTCTTGCGTAAACGGCAGTCTTAATAATTTATTTTATTCAAAAATACATACTATTTTTTTTCTGCTCTATACAAAATTGTATTTTTAATATATGCTTGCTTATTATTCTTTTCATTTTGTTTTGTTTTTACATCGCATATAAACTTAGATGGATGCCTTCTAATAATAGAAAAAATAGAATGAATCATACTTTATTATTTAGAAAGTAAAAGTATTCTCTGAGTAGAGGTGAACAACGCCATCAAATGTCGGACAGTTAAAACACTATTTTATTAATAATATTAAGCAAATTTATAACAAAAATAGTGAATTAATTTGTCATTACGAATCTAACAGATATAAAAAAAGGGAAACTCAACTGAATAGCTTGATAATGTTATGATTCGCTAATAGAGATATATTTGAAAATTTTATTGAACATTATTAATTATATTACTTTTAATGTGATTTGAAATTAAAGTAATATCGATACAGATAAAGATCAACTATAATTTATCAAAATCTTAACTTATTAATAGTGTCGATTTAAACTCAACTAAAAACAATAGATAATAAAATATATTACCGATGAGGGTGTGAAATTTTAATTAATAAATCGTAGTAGCAACTTTATTTTTTTACCAATAGTAATGGAACATTCAATCAAGCCACCAAATGATGCACCAATGTACTTCAAGTTCAAACACTACATATAAGTCATTTTTTTTCAAATATAATCGACAGATGTTATGATCTACAGATTAACTATGTGAAAAATATCTCTATTGAAAAAAGCAATTTTCTTAATTATTATTTATTTAAATTAATTTATTTCCGTACAAGAAATATGAAACGATTGAATTACCATAAGTGCTTGACCAGTAGGAGGTGAAATATAGCATGGTAATGAACGAATACCAAATGCAGTATGATATACAGTTAATGGAATTATTTCACCAGGTGATCCTTTAATAGTAATTGCTGTTTGACTTTGATCGAAATTAATATCTATTGAATTAATTCGTTGTCGACTAACAGAAGTCCATTTATTTAATTCACCCATAAATGCATATTGTCTATGATCAACATCATTAAATTGCCATAATGGTGATATATACCAAAGACAAAATGATGAACTATTACATTTATTAGATGATATGTAAAGTGGATGAGTATCATCAAAAATAGATATATCAGTTGAATTTTCATACGACCATATAATTCCTGATTGAGCTTTAATCATAGAAGGATAGATTAAATAATCTTTTCGCATTGATGATGCAAGTATAATAGAAAATATTTGATTATTTCTATGAAAAGAAATAGATTAGATCTATATTTCTAATCAAAATAAACTTACATAGTTGTTTGAGTTGAATAGTTCTCCTTGTATATCTCCATTATTTTCAGCCCAATCAGCAATTAATGAATCGATCATTGTTATTGGTCGATCTGGTTTTAAAATAAGACCATCTTTTCTACAACATCGCATAATACGTTCAATATTAGTATAATTAATTGCATCACCTGGACCAACAGGATCTGTTGAATGTGTTGCTAGAACTATTTCTCTATCTGGAAGTGGTTCCATAGCAGATGGTTTATATGAAGAACCAGGTTCATTTGATGTTGACCAAAAAACATCTTTAAATGGAGCAATACCAAGTGCATCAGCTAACATACTTGCTATTCCAATATTCCATTGATTACCTTTATGAACAATATGCGATGTATAATCACTTGATACTCGTGCGTGTGTTACTCGTGGAATTTCAAGTGCTTGTAATGCATGACGAGGATATGATGAACAATATTGAATAGTAATTCCAGCTTTTTCTGCTCCTTTAACCATTGATATTAACCATTGTTCTCCAAGATTGATATCTGTACGTAATGGAATAAATTTTGATGTTTGAGCATGTAACCAATCTTGTTCATACATAATAAGACCCCAATTATGTGATGCATCACTTAATAAATCAATCCAAAATGAATCATTTCCTATTGGTAAAGTCATTTCATTGATATTATCAAAAGCAAAATTATATTTATCTGAATAAACTGTATCTAATGCCCAATAACGATTATGTGCTGCCAATGGTATATTATCCATCTGATGATATACTGATGGAAGACCATCAGGAAAAATATCAGGTCGAGATTTCCATTGACTTACACCATCTTTTAATCCTTTATAATACCACCATGAATCTAATTGAATATAATGAAATGGAAGTGTTATTTTTTTATGAACAGATAATACTGTTTCTTCATAATTTAAACCTGATTCTGTATTATAATAATAATAAGCACCACCATCTGTATAATAACCAAGATAATTTATAGTTATGTCATTAAGACGATATTGTTTATCTCGATTATATACTCGTTGCATTATGTTACCATATTGACGTAAAGCATCATTAGTACCATTAGATGAATAAAAAAGAATCATTGTATGATTATAATTAGCTGGAATAGTTTTTATTGAACCCATAACTCCATATTGTAATATATTATCTTGTTGACTTAGTGATGTTGCCATAAATTGAGCAAATGGTGAAAGAATAATAACATCATTTTGTCCATGTTGAGTTAAATTAAAAAGTACTACTGGTCCAGCTTCCATACCTGATTTAATAACTGTATTTGATAACTGTATTTGATGATTTCCAAATACCTGCATGCATTTCATCATAACCCATCATAACACCTATTTAAAAATATTTCAAATAATTAATACAAAAAAAAACATTTACCTTCAAATGTAAAATATCCTCGATAATCATTTGTATCAATTTGTTCAATTTTAAATGATGGAAATACAGTACGAACTTGATCTATACTAAGATTAATATTATTTGTTAAATCTTTTGTACCAATATTCAAACGAAATGTTATTGATGAAATAGAATTCCATTGACGAATATGTGCAGATACATTCGTAACTGTTCCACCATGATTTAATTTATAAATTAATTGAGTTTCATTCCAATTACCAAAATCTGGATCATCACCTTGGAAAACAAGAGCATCGATAAGAAGAAGAGAACTATCATTTGATGAATACCATCGATCATCAACATATAAAGCAGTACTAGATGAACGAAGCCAAATATTATTACCGACACTTATACTATATTCTCCTTTTATTCGATCTATTGAAACTTGTACATAGGGTAGTCAAAAAGTTCTGCAAACAGCTGCCTAAAATTTCATCCTAACTGGTTTTATTCCTCATGTTGGCCTATTCTAGTAGTGACATCTCTTATGTATTAAAATACCAATACGAAGTTTCACAACTGTCTATTATGGCAAATTTTCAACGAATTTTTTGAACACCCCTGTTTTCAGATGGAAAAACAGTACATACGCTCATATATAAAAACTCGTTGGTTATTAGCTTTAACAGCTACACAAATTCATCGTGAATTAACTACTGCTTATGGACAGGATGTAGTTTCATATTGTACAGTTACTCGATGGATTGAACGATTTTCAAATGAACGAGAATCTTTGGAAGATAATCCTCGAAGTGGTCGTCCAATAGCCATCATTAGTCAACAAAATATCGATTCGGTGCAAGGCCTGGTGAATGATGATTCACATATTAGTATTGATTATGTTACTACCATCTTAGACATAGTTATCATATAAACTATCGTGATGAATACTTGGAGATTTTAGTCAAAAATTTACATAAGAAAAAATCAGCATCAAAAACAAGTAGCATAAATTTGCATTATAAAAATGCAAAATCACATATGTAAGATATTGTTCTCAATCTTAATTATTTTCAAGAGGAGAAAATCAAAGTTATGGCTCATCCACTATACTCATCTGACCTCGCTTCTTCAGACTTTTGGTTGTTCAGTTGTCTGAAACGTAGTCTTGATACATATCCAGATGCTACAAGTTTAGCTAAAGCAATAGCCAAGGAGCTCAATTCAATACATATTCAAGAATATCAAAAGACACTCCAGAAGTGGATTGAAAGGATGAAACTTTGTATTGAACATCGTGGGAACTACTTCGAACATTTACTGTAAAAAGATTAGCAAAATATTTTGTCTATGAATAAATATTTGAAAGTTGCAGAACTTTTTGACTACCCTATGTACATAACACCAACATTCCACTATCATCAGTAAGAAAAATATTGCACAATGCATTGTCAAACAAAAAAGAAAAGAGTATCCTAAGTTGCAGGTAAAAGATAACTTGATATATATATATCTATATATAAAGAGAAATATCATAGAAGATAAGAGATTGAAAGCATCACACGACGCATTTCGAATGGGGCATAATCCATTCATCATCAGACATATTGAGGGTGGGGTGAGTAAGCGCACCATGATCACGATTTCGATCTTGCTCAAGGGTCTCATCAGACGGTTTAATTGTATATACATGTATTCTGTTCTAATGATCAGAAGATCACATAGTATGGTGTATATCGTCTGTTTATACATCGTAAGGATCGGATAAGAAGGAACACGGTGAATGAAGGATAACATCATAGGCCCACAACATCTATCGAGAAAGATATAATTATTTTGATCTGATTGGAGTATTTTTTGATTCTAGATATTTCTGGTTAAATTTCGTTTTGAAAGGTGTGTTAATCCAGGGATTATTATGATTCAGTTCGTTCTAAAGAACGTTTAAATTGCTTTTGAACTGTTTTTTTTGTAGAAAATCATTCATAAGACCTGAAAGAATACTGTGACTCGCTGTGTAAATGCGTGTGGCGAATGTTGATATGTGTATAGGCTCAGTTTCAGTTATTTGGGACAGGTATTTATCGATTTAATTTTTTGTTGAATAGCTAATGAACAAATTAAAAAGAAAGGGAATTCGAGGGCTGCGCAAATACGAATACAATTTGTACCACCAGGTTCACAGCTAACTATGTACTACCTTGCACCACCTTGTACCCCTTGGGTGGGTGTGGATGTAGGTGTGGGTGTGGGCGGGTGTGGGTGTGGGTGTAGGTGTGGGTGTGGGTGGGTGTGAGTGTGAGTGTCGGGTATGGGTGTGAAGTGTGGGTATGGGTGTGAAGTGTGGGTATGGGTGTGAGAACCTCTTCATCTGCACTCACCCCACCCCCACCCACACCTACACACTCCAAGATCAAAGGGCATCATGTTGTACTTGACACACCAGCACTCTGCCTCTGGCGAGATTCTTTGCAAAATTGAAACGTATTGTGGTAGCTTCATTTGATAGTTCTTGTGTTTATGTAAAATTTATTATTTTTCAACACACCCACATCTAAAAACCGTTAGAAGAAGTATTAGTAGCACTAAGTAGAAGTTGGGAATAATAAATCAATGAAAAAAAAAAGCTTAAACCAATAGTGGTGATATCAACAGGTCTGTAAAAAAATGTTTAAATTGTCAGCACCTTCGTTAGCGACGACAAAATCCAACTTTCCATCGTTGTCTAAATCACCAACGGAAATCGAGAACGGAAGAGATCCGTAACCGGTCGAAAAAACCTTTGCACTTGCGAAGGAGCCATTTCCATATCCAAGCAACACACCTACGTTGTTTGTGCCATAATTAGCAACAATAATATCTAGCAAGGTGTCGTTGTTGAAATCACCAACAGCAACTGCGTTTGGTTGAGAGTTTAAACCGGTCGTAAACGTTTTCTGGTTTGAAAAAGAACCATTACCCTGTCCGAGAAAGATACCAACAGTGTCACTGCCAAGATTCGCGACGACAATATCAAGTATGGAATCGTTGTTGAAATCACCAACAGCAACCGACCATGGAGAGGAATCAGTTGCATATGCTATTTGATTTCTGAAAGAACCATTGTCGTATCTCAGAAAAACACCAATATTGTTATTGCCTGAATTCGCCACTGCTATATCCATTTGACTGTCATTGTTAAAATCTCCAATGGCGAATGACTTATGCCGAGATCCGTTCCCAGTTATGAGTCTCATTGGATTAAGAAAACCTTCATTCGGATATCCGAGATATACACTAGCAGTGGGCCCATTCAGATTAGTGACGACGATATCCAATCGGGTGTCATTATTAAAATCGCCAACAGCTAGAGATGAAGGGCTAGTGCCAGTTGAATAGATCATTTGATTTGTAAAAACACCATTGCCATATCCAAGAAGGACACTCATAGTGTTGTCATTCCAATTAGTGACGACGATATCCAATCGGTTGTCGCTGTTAAAATCACCAACAGCTATAGAGGGTGGGCCAGAGCCAGTTGAATATGTCGTTTGATTTGCAAAAGAGCCGTTGCCATATCCAAGAAGGACACTTACTGTATTGCCACCTCCATTGGTGACAACGATATCCAACAGAGTGTCGTTGTTAAAATCGCCAACAGCTACAGCAGTTGGGTAAGAGCCAGTTGAATATGTTGTTTGACTTGCAAAAGAGCCATTGCCATATCCAAGAAGGATACTTACTGTATTGCCACCTCCATTGGTGACAACGATATCCAACAGAGCGTCGTTGTTAAAATCGCCAACAGCTACAGACCTTGGGGCAGAGCCAGTTGAGTATGTCGTTTGATTAGTGAAAGAACCATTTCCATATCCGAGAAGGATGCTTACAGTGTTGTCACCCCAATTAGCAACGACGATATCCGGTCGGGTGTCGTTGTTAAAATCACCAATAGCTACAGACTTTGGGCCAGAGCCAGTTGAATATGTCGTTTGATTTGCAAAAGAGCCATTGCCATATCCGAGAAGGACACTTACAGTATTGTCATGAAGATTAGCGACCACGATATCCATATGGGTATCGTTATTAAAATCGCCAACGGCTACAGAGAATGGGTTAGAACCAGTTGAGTATTTCGTTTGATTAGTGAAAGAACCATTTCCATATCCGAGAAGGATACTTACAGTGTTGTCGTACTGATTAGCGATGACGATATCCAGTTGGATGTCGTTATTAAAATCGTCAAGAGCTACAGATCGAGGCCAGCCGCTAGTTGAATATTTATTGTCATGACTGAAAGATCCAATATCGTATGTAACCAGCACATCTACATAATCGATGCCATCATATGCAACGAAAATTTCTGAACGCCCATCTTTGTTAAAACTATTGGCACCAATAATCAATGGAGCGAAATCGAAATCTACACCGTAACGTCCGTGATTTTCAAATGTTCCATTTCCACTTCCAAGAAACGTAACAAGATTATTAGTATCATAATTGGCCACGGCTATATCTGCTTGACCGTCTCTATTGAAATCATGGATAGTGATGGAGTAAGGATGAGAATTTAAGCCTGTTGAGAGCACCATTTGATTTCCAAAAGTGCCATTCCCATATCCAAGAAGGACACCTATGTTATTAGTACCATAATTGACAACAACGATATCCAATAGGCTATCGTTATTGAAATCAAAAAGGGCAAAGTTTCGCAAATGAGAACCATCGGTAGGTGCAAATGTGATTTTGTCTTTCAGAGCTCCCCTGTCATACCGAAGTAGTACACCTACAGTGTTGTCATTAAAATTAGCGACGACAAGATCCGGTCGAGTGTCGTTGTTAAAGTCACCAACAGCTACAGCAATTGGGTCAGAGCCAGTTGAATATGTCGTTTGATTTGCAAAAGAGCCGTTGCTATATCCTAGAAGTACACTTACAGTGTTGCCACCAAAATTAGCAACGACGATATCCAGTTGGGTGTCGTTATTAAAATCACCAACAGCTACAGACCATGGGACAGAGCCAATTGCATATGTCGCTTGATTTGCAAAAGAACCATTTCCATATCCGAGAAGAAAACTTACAGTTTTGCCATTCCGATTAGCAACGACAATATCCAGTTGGCTGTCATTATTAAAATCACCAACAGCTACAGCTATTGGGGCAGAGCCAGTTGAATATGCCGTTTCATCGGCAAAAGAGCCATTTCCATATCCGAGAAGTACACTTACAGTGTTGTCATCAAGATTGGCGATGACGATATCCAGTTGAGTGTCATTATTAAAATCACCAACAGCCACAGAGACTGGCGTTGTACCAGTTGAATATGTCGTTTGATCTGCAAAGGAGCCATTTTCATAATTGAGAAATACTCCTATAGTGCTGTCATTCGTATTAGCGACGACGATATCCCAATGGGCGTCGTGGTTAAAATCACCAATAGCTACAGAGCTAGGGTAAGTGCCAGTTGAATACGTCTTTTGATTTGCAAAAGAACCATTTCCATGTCCAAGAAGAATACTTATGGTGTTATCATAATAATTAGCGACGACAATATCCAGTCGGTTGTCGTTGTTAAAGTCACAAACAGCTTCAGAGTATGGTCCACGGCCAGTTGAATATGTCTTTTGATTTGAAAAAGAGCCATTGCCATATCCGATAATTACACTTATATTGTTGTCCTTCCCATTAGTGACGACGATGTCCAGATGGGCGTCGTTATTAAAATCACCAACGGCTACAAAGTATGGTCCAACGTCAGTCTGATATGTCGTTTGAATTGGAAAAAATTCATCATAGCCAAGCATGATGCCTATGGTGCTCGTATCATTGTTAATGAAGGCAATGTCTGAACGATTGTCGCTGTTTAAATCACCTATAGCAATGGAGATTGATGAAGAAGATCCAGTTGGATACAGTTTTGGGCTTGCAAAAGTACCGTTGCCATGCCCGATAAGTAGAGCTATATTGTCAGTGCCATTATTGGTGACGACTAAATCCATTCTATTATCGTTGTTGAAGTCACCTATTCCAATAGAATAAGGAGAAGCAGCACCGAGGGAATATGTCATCTGGGTTATAAGCGTTCCATTACCATGACCTAGAAGTATACCAACACTGTTATCTCCATAGGTGGTGACGGCAATATCTAGATTAGTGTCTTCGTTTAAATGACCAGCGACAAGCGAGTATGGATGGGAATTAAGACCAGTTAAGAGCGTGCTTTGCCTTGCGAAAGTGCCGTTACTAGTTCCAAGCATGATACCAACATTATTGGTACCATAATTGGCGATAGCAAGATCCATCTGTTTGTCATTGTTGAAATCGCCACTAACAACCGCTAACGGGAAAGAATCGTAGCCTGTAGAGTAAGTGCTTGGGTTTGAAAAGCTTGCATTCCCATATCCATAAAATATGCTAACACTGTGTGTACCGTAATTAGCAGTGATAATATCTAATGCTGCATCATTGTTAAGATCTGCTACATGGATCCAAACAGGACGAGATGATGCAGTTGATAGAACTGTTTTGTTTGCAAAATACCCATTTTGGAATCTGAGGAGTATACCGATGCTATTTGTACCGAAATTGGCGACGACGACATCAGGTCGATGATCGTTGTCGAAATCATCAACAGCAATCGTATACGGAGCAGAGCCATAACCCGTTGAAAACATGACTGGGCTTGCCACAGTGCCATTACCATGTCCAAAATATATAGCTATATTGTCAGCAGCATAATTGGCAACAACAATATCTAGCGAGGTATCGTTGTTGAAGTCTCCCATGGCAACAGCTCGTGGGCCATACTTATAGTTAATTGGAGTTTGGGCCGTTGCTTTAAAATTAAGTTCACATTTTGGAACTAAGTAACGAAAGAACAAAGAAATAAAGACTGATCAGTTACTATGATTGAACTATGTCTAATGGATCGTATCAGATTTCGATAATCTTGATGATTTTCCATTGAGATCAGTCAGATCATTACAAAAAAAAACTGAATGAGAACCAGCACTTTTCAATAAAACCTCGTTGAGTCTCCCGAAACTCCTAGTGACTGAGGAAGAACAGAGACAGTAGCTAACATGATGAGAAAACGAATTATGAACTCTCCCTAACTAAGAGTTCAAAACCACATTCATTCCTATCTTACGGATTCTTCGAGGACACGTCATTACCTACAATTATAATATAAGGATGATAATTTCGAACCGTGTCAAAATCAAATGAATGTCAGTATGTCCGTGTTGCAAAACTCTTACCATCGCGTCATGAATATTACGCCTTGTTGACTAATAACAGCAATTAGAATATAACAAGTTTTTTTACGAGTGTTCGAGATTACGCAATGAATCGAACACTGACAGTTTATTAACAGTTATCACCTGATGAGTTGAGTGATGATTAATTTCTAATGTTGAACATTGTGATCATACTCCAATGTTACAATATGACCTGCATAGCTATATGATGGTTTCGGGTAATTGATAAGTGCTTTTTATTTGGTTAGAGGGCTGAAACGGCGAATTAATATTACGGATAGGTTATCTTATTGGGTAATGGAACATGTGTCAGTTTAGTTTTTCGCTCCAAAGAAACTTATTTTACGAAAATAACCATGTGTTTGAAGTGTGATAAAATGATTATGAGGTTGAGGAATCCGAACCCATTTATGATTTCTCAAAATTTGTAGTGTCATTTTGTTGGAGATATAGTCCTTCCAGAGGGAAAACCTCAAGGCTACGAGTCTATGGGCTTTTTTATTTCAAACTGAATTCCAAAATCAAAAAACCCACACCAATTTCTTCCGAATCAAACTTTTCTCGCTTGATACTACGTAGTCTCACTAAAAACCCTTAGTCCCTCCTAGTCCTGCAAAGTCCCCCTTAGTCCCCCCCACAAAAAGCTTAGTCCCCGCTTAGTCCCCTGTGCAGGGGACTAAAGCCTATAGTACACAAAACCACAAGCACATCCTCACCCTCACTCGCGCGCCCACACCCGCACCATGGGTGTGGGTGTGTGTGTGGGTCCCAGACCAACACCCACACCCTCAGTCACCCCCCTCCCTCACTCCTAGACTCACGTTTCAGTTTGAAATCAAGTATTATTTTTATTTGATAAATTCAGACTGAAATTAAATAGCCCATAGTATGAAGGCTACACAATTCGAAAGGTCACAAATAAAGAAGGAGGACGCATAACAAGACAAATCACCTATTTGGGAAACGATTCAATGACTTCTGATGCATATTGCTGTACCATATTTTTACTGCAGTAAGATGGTTGTACACTAACAGTAACTTTGTGACAACATTTGTTCACCTGTCTATAAATAGTCTCATTTGAAAGACGAGGAAATTATCTACAAATTCTCAGATGAAAAGCTGAAGTTATGTCGAGATAATAGTGTTTCTATCGATATTTCGAATATATCAGGAAGGTTCTGGCTTCTTAATTGCTTTGGAGACAGCTTTACGATGGACTGTCCTCTTCAAAGTGTGATGCAGTTTTTGATGGACTACACGCTGGTAAAGTTTTCTTGTGGATATCATAATTGTACAGATGAGAAACCTCCACTAATGATCGTAGATTGATTCCAGAAAACCACATAACCGGCTTCTGTTTTGTTAATATGAATACCATATGTTCTTCTGAAATTGTACCACATATGGTTGCAGTTTTAGGCACGACCAAACCTCGAAAAGCTATAGCTAATAAAATAACTAGAAGAAAACTACACCAACGATTAGTCCATCAAAAACTGTATGAAACGCTATAGAAACACTAATAGTTCACCGTAAATTCAGCTTATAGTTATCTTATTGTTGGATATAGCCGTTTGAGTACAATGGCAATATGGTATATTAATCTGGATTAGGAGCCATTGATTGGCTTTCTAAACAGATTAAATGCAGTGTCCAATGATTTACTGTCTCATTCTGCATCGAAATAACGGATGAGGCAGATTAGATGGCTAAACTTTGCATTATTATTTTTACTCACTTAATACGTTGTGTTTTACTTTTTTCTTTCAAAATGCACAGAATTTCGAGAGACCTAATTTCGACCATGTGAAAACGGGGTTTTCTTTGTACAAGATGAATTCGTTTTTTCTTATTTCATCTTTTTATCATCTGATAGTTTTTAGTTGAAAAAAAACAAAATATACTACTAGATGCACCGTGAAAAGCTACACAATTTATATAGGAAAACTTATTGTATTTGTTTTCGAAATCAACAAAATTTTGTGCGACAATTTTTCTCACGGTCGAAATTTGATCGCTCAAAATCTTGTCCATTTTCAAAGCAAATGTAACCTGGTATTAAGTAATTGAAAATTGAAATTCAAAGTGTAGCCATTTAATCTGTCTCAGCTGTTATAGACTTGTTTTGAAAATTCTGATGTGGGCAAATCCGTTTTCTTATGTGCTCTTCCTCTGGATTTCATGATTTCGAACACTTTGGATCAAAGTTCATCAAATAGGCTTTGTTTGAGACAAAAATCAAACTGACCAATATGCCCTCACTAGCAAGTAGTACTTACCACTGACTGGTAACCTTAGTAATATGAGAGTCATACTCATAAATACCTGTTCTTTGAGCTTAAAGTTTTCTCGTCAGTAGAATTCATAGAATAGAAAAAAATCCAAAAGAATTCGTAGTATTAGCTATATCTCAATAAAGGAATATTTTCACGAGCTAACTTCTTATAAACTCATTTTACACCTCGCTGCTTATCGTATAAAAAAAGACGATCTTTACCTAACGTTTTTCTTAACAAGGAAATTATAATGATACGAAGAATGAGAATAAAATAAAAAATCAGGAAAAGAATTGATCAGTCTAATGATGATTATAATTTGAAAAAAGAGTGAATCATGTTCTTGTTGCACCAAGAACAATGAATCATTGGCCCATCAATGCAACTCTTTTCATGGCATCTGTCTGCTTGAAATTTGAAGCAAGTATCTTTAACATTCTAAAGTGGGTCAGGATCAATTTTCAAAAAAAAATTTTTCAGCCAGGTGCACTTTATCATAGGTGGAAAAGGCAGAGTATAGATATAGGTGTGTGAGTTTATAGGAATGGGGGTATATCGATGCTAATGTGAATGTATTTTCGGAATCTTGAGCGTCCTATTCATCATCATGATTCAATATAGTTTTCGTTTCAAATATATGAGGTATACTTTCCATAGAGATTAAATACAATGTGTTCTTTGTCAGACCTGATTGAAGATAGTGCATTACAGAACAATTTGTGTGATGTTAGGTTTAATAATTATAACACATTTTTATTATCGTGATATGTGAACTATGTTAAAATAGAAATGTGCTTACTATCTGTCCACTTTGTGAAAATGATCAACTACTGATCAGTTATTAGTCGGATGAAAGTATTATTTTATGATGTGTATACAAAGTTTTACAGCTTGAAAGAGCTGTAACAGAAATAAATCACTAGAAAATATGTGAGAAAATGCATGAATCAAAAAGAAAGATTAAAAAAGAAAACGAATATACCTGAACATTCTAGAAAAGAAGATATATACGTATTCAAACATGATATCAGAACGAAAAAAGATAGTGATGGAATATGCATACTACTTACATTCATTTACCAGTAGCATTAAGTGAGAAAATGTAGAGATATGTACCGTTGAGAAGAAATATTTACTTTCGTAATGTTCTATGAGAATTGAGTTGTATTTTCTCTTATTCTTTCGTATTTCTATTATATTCAAGAATATATCGATGAGATAGAGAAAAAAAATCAAGGGTAAGCTGCTGTTTTCATTTAGTGACGTGAAAGAGTACCATCAAAAATAATAGAAGAAGTGATTCTAGAAAATTGAATAAGATAAAGTTGATCTTTCGGCAATAAGTAACAATTCGCAACAACAATTTGTAGCAACCAGCTCGTGAAATTGTTGTTTTATTGACATATGAAAAAACTAAGAGAAAATGCGATAATCTTCGTCTCAGAGAAACTTACTATCTACGTTCCTCTAGAACAAAGCGGCAATGTGATGATGCTTTCTGGAATCGTTTTCTAATCTATAATTCCTTCCAATAAGTGAAGTAGGAAGGCTCGAGTTAGAGACAAAGTATCAAATCTACTGATGATGATCACCTTAGTTAATTAGCGCTCGTCAAAGGATATTTGAAATGAAAAAGTGAAGCAGTCGTAATGCTTATAATTCTGTTCTCGCCAGATGCTTTGAGTGTTTTTAATCCAGAGTCACAATACAAATGAAACAGAACCGAATAAACTGTGGATTTTTATCCTATTGAATACGAAGAATACAAAGCAATAAGTACGTACCTGGAGATTTTGGTGAAGTAAAGCAAACTACCAGTGTGCCTATGATCGTAAGTATACTTGTAATCATAGGCAATACAAAGGTAGGCTTGGGTATGAAATCCAATATTAACCAATAAAAAAGCTTCCTAGGAAAGAGCAACAACGACAATATTTTACATTAAAAGAAAAAGTCATACATATTCTGTTGAAACGTATAATTTTTTATTCTATTGATAATTTTATGCTGAGCGTCTCTTGCATTTTGTGCATTTGCTATCATCTTTGGCTTGTTGGTTGAACTGACAAATCCACTTTTCTTTGGAAATGAGAACTTAGTTGATTCAGCGCTGTTGTTCATGCTAACCATTTCAATCTAAGAAGAGATAGTAGGTAAGGAAGAACACATACCTAGCATGAACATATAAATAAATCTCTAACAATGGAGAGTTTCTACAACAAACTGTTCCTGCAGTATTTCTGCTGAATCCGTTCAGTCTATATACGTATAAGGATACAACTTTTCTATGCCATTTCAACCATTTCTCAACTGTTAAATAAATGTGTTTGATATGTTGAGGAGACTGCACAACATATCTAACGATCAAGTTATACCTGATCAAAACACGGTGTGCACACTGCAGCATATTAAAACGCTTATCAAAGCTACCGGTTATTTACTTTTTGCTGATTTTTATCAAAACTAATACATATTATTTTTTCTGTCTTCAATTCTGTTGCATAAATACTTTCAGATGGAAGACTTTCAACATGTTTTCTAACAATATTTTTTAAAATAGTCTCTCGCAGAATTTCAGATCCGTCGAACTTTGATCAAGACATCACAATAACGATTTTTAGAATTGTTACTTAG